GTAAAAATCCACTGATTGTTGTATTTGTAACTTTCATGCATGAGATAGTTCATTTACTTTTTTCTTTTTTAAGAGAATAAACTTCCTCTATTAAAAACCTTGTTGATGGGTACTTAATAACAAATATTTCTGTTGGTAAATTACCCACATCAACTACTGACTTACACTGTAGATATTATGGTGCTTGTTTGTTATTACAAATTTATATTTGTCACTTTCTCTGGCATGAAGGTTCCAAAGGCATTGACTCGTTGCAGAACAATACTCGGCCTCAGACATATAGTGACCGCTTGGTAGAGGCTTTGATCACGGAGTCTAAAAAAGATGAAGATATTGTGGTGGTCCATGCAGGAATGGGAATGGAGCCGTCATTTCTATTGCTAAGAGATAAGTTGCAAGACAAGTTTTTTCATGTTGGCATGGCTGAGCAGCATGCGGTGACATTCTCGGCTGGTCTTTCGCGCGGAGGATTGAAGCCCTTTTGTATAATTCCCTCTGCATTTCTCGAGAGAGCATATGATCAGGTTTCATCTTATAATATGTCTCGTTTTCCCACTCAGTTTAACAATTTATTTCTTTTTAAGTAAATCATTTTTTTTATTCTCTCTAATAATAGTCTTGATTCAGATTTTTTTTTTTTCCAAATTTATGTTATATATTCAATTTAAACATATTGTTATCTCTTATTGTTGTGTAAGTTGTAATTTTGGAAACAATTACCGACATAGTGAATTATGGATATCCTAGATGTAATAAATGTAAAAGACTTATTGTCTCTGGAGTCTGGAATTAGGACTAATGGCATGGAATTTTACAATTAAACTTTTCAAATCCGATATAAGAAAAGCACCGACAGAAATAGTCGAAATATACATTTTCCTTACATAAATTTTGTTTTATTTTATTTTTCCTGTTTTGTTTAAGTGGGCTCCACCAACAAAATTCAACGTCCCGTAAAAAGGTCCCTATCACTAGAATGAATTAAAAAAAGTTATATTTGCTTGGTTATATATCTCGTGGAGTAATTTAAATTCTCGCTCTTAAGGTGATTCATGACGTGGACCGGCAAAAGATTCCCGTACGTTTCGTGATCACGGGTGCAGGATTGGTGGGGTCGGATGGCGCAACTCATTCTGGGCCATTTGATATTACATTTATGTCGTGTCTTCCAAACATGATAGTGATGGCACCTTCTGATGAGATCGAGCTCGTTCGTATGGTAAAGACTGCCGTACACATTCATAATAGGCCTGTTTGCTTTAGGTACCCAAGAGGCGCAGTTGCTATGTCCGAACCTGACTCATATGTTGTGGAAACAATTGAGGTAACATTATTATGACGATTGAGAAATTCCTATATATGAAAAACAATTGTTTTGTACAACTGTAAGTTCATCAAAGGTTGGAAAATGTTCACTTTGTGTATTCCTTGTTGGTGGAAGTGTTTCAGTGTTGCAATTGTAAAATTAAGGGTAAAATTAGAAATAGGACCAAGGTGTTTAGCTAATTACTAAAGGGTCTAATTATCGTTCTAAATTTGCAAATACTTCCTGAATTTGCTAATTATGAGCTCACTTATGTGGTTTGTGTTTTTCTGTTACAAGTACTGCCTCTCTTGAAAGAATGGTTTGGAATTAGAAACAAATGTTGATAGGATGTTTCGTACCTTTCAAAGTTACTTGGGAGGTTTTGGTAATTAGCCTCTGATGAATCACAATTGTTTTTCTCTTATGGGGATAATTACAAATAGTACCCTGAAGTTTGACATAACTTAAAATTGGGCGGCTTTCTGTAGTATTTTACGAATGTGATATGGGATCTTGAACTGTCTTGTTTATATTTTAGACAAGATATAAATTTCAGGGGTCTGTTTTATTTTATAATTCTCAAAGTTAACGTAGTTTTTCTGTAATAAGGTCAAACTTTGGGGCTACTTTTCGTGATTAACCGCCTCTTCATTTTTCGATGGTTAACCCTGAATCCAACTAGATTGTTGATATATGTTTAATTAGCCAAGCGAACTGCTCCCGTGAATGAGTTAATTTTTTTCATTAATTTTTTAATTCCTCTTTTTATGGGTTTTTATTTCCTCTTGGGCAGGTTGGTAAAGGGCGAATACTTGTGGAGGGAAAAGATATTGCCCTTTTGGGTTTTGGTTCGATGGTCCAAAATTGCCTAAGGGCACATTCTCTTCTGGCAAAGATGGGCATTGATATTACAGTTGCGGATGCACGTTTTTGCAAGCCGCTAGATATAAATTTAGTGAGGATATTGTGCAAGAACCACAAATTTCTTATCACGGTCGAGGAAGGGTCGATTGGAGGATTTGGAGCACATGTTGCACAATTTATTTCTCTTGATGGGCTGCTTGATGCTGGAATTAAGGTGAAACTTTTTAGTTTTACCTTATATTTCTAAGTTGCCTTAAAGTTATACATATTTCCTATATATATGTGAATAGTTTTATTGAGTTTTGTGTGTGTGTTTGTAGTGGCGCCCAATTACTCTGCCTGACAACTACATAGAGGGTGCTTTGCCAGAAGATCAGCTTGCTCTTGCCGGCCTAACCGGAAATCATATTGCTGCTACTGCACTGAATCTGCTCGGTCGAACTCGTGATGCACTTCTCTTGATGTGTTAGTGTCTATTTTAATTATGGGACTTAATGTGATTGTCAAGAAGAAAAAAAAAAAATTAAAAATATATATGAGAAGGAAATCGTTTTGGTAGATTGAGCTAAAGGCACAGGATAAGAGCTAATTTACTCGGAGGTTAAATTTGTCCAACGTGTTGCTTTATTTATTTATTTATTTTTTTTTTATTGGGTAGGCTAACTTATTATATTTATATGTGTCCGTCAATGTGTGCGTATGGGGAGAGAGCATATAACGTATGTATGAAAAATATATTTTTGTCTAATAACATTAATTCGTGCATTGTAAAACAAAGGGCATTTCTTGGTACCACCTTGTTAAATGGTAAGGGTACATGGGACCAAATACCAAGTGAATTCATCTTCACGTATCATTTTATTCTATTAATGAACAAAATATATGTACAAATTGTTAAAAGAAGTATGTCTTAGCGTTTCATTTTGATTANTTTTTTTTTTTGAAACGATAGACTTTATAAATAAACACGTAATTACAACCAGCTAACTAGTCGAAACCAGCTAACTAGCCGAAACAGAGAGGTCTACTAAAGGTAATTTAAATTACTACTTGTTGCCTAAAAAAATAATAAAAAATAATAAATTTAAAAACATATCCATGTAGTGTAAAAAGTTGTTGAAAAAAAGAACATTCAAACGTCTAACAACAAAGCCCGACTGTGAAAGTAAACGTCCAGGAGCTAAGCTTGGAAGCCAAAGAAACGTCCAACATAGAACCCCGACTCTGAAGCTAAGCTTGAAAGCCAAACAAACGTCCAAACGTGAAGCCCGACTCTGAAGCTATACGCCTAAAAGAGAAAGAACAACACATTTAATACCATGTTGACTCTAATACCATGCTGGAAAAGATGAAACATGGATAGAAGAAGCCACTAAAGCTTACTGAAATATTATATATATATTGTTGATCCATCTTTTCCACTAGGCACTAACCCACAAAACACAACTATACAACAAACTTCAATCAAATAAATTAGCCACAACCATGCCCCCCTCAGAACACTAGAACAATGAATTTAGAGGAACAAAAAAAAAAAAAAATCAACAAGAAATAGACTATTTTCAAGAACAAGATTTAATTTCTTCTTTGATAGTAAGTTATATTTTTAAACTCCCTATTAGATATTTATTTCATTTGTCTAATTGTCTTTATCTATCTTCTCATTTTAGATGAGCTATTTAGGGTTTTAATACTAACTGCTAGGATCATTTAGTTGCAATTTTTATTTTGTTGATTGTGTATGAAGTAATAATTGTGTGTGTGTGTGTGTGTTTTTAAATATCTTATCCTCTAGTGTGATTGTTGTATATCATATTTGGATTTAAATTTATGGTGTAGTCATTTCATTTTGCTAATAACTGTAGACTGTCTATTTATTTGTATTGTGAAATTTTTAGAAACCGAGATCGACAGGATCAACGTCAAAGTAGTGAAAACACATCAAATACGGTGTAAAATGAGCATAATGAATTTTATTTGTAAAAGCTCGTCAAGCATAACTTCAGTAAATATGTGATTTTTATTAAAATGAGTTTTTAAAATTCTAACCTAATCAATTCTTAATTTCTGAATCCGTTCCTAATTGTGTGTTAGGGATGCAATAGGTAGCTACTATAAATAGACCTCCCTAGATCTTACGGTCTAGATTACATCAAGCAAACAATTCAAAATTCAAAAACTACATCTGCACATTTGTACTCAATCTATATCTATATCTATATAATGGACCAATCTATTTTGCTAAAATTAGCATATATTTTCCAGCTTAAAATTTTCAACCTAATTTAAAAATATTATTGAACTTCATTTATAATCAATTCTAAAAGTTTGTTATGTAAAGTTTGATTATAATTTTTTATTTTTTATAAATTTAAGAATTTTGATATGAATAATGCAAATCAAATTATAGTTTAACAATTTCATATTTAACAATGCATTATTTTGATATTATAAAATGATAATATTAATTTATCATGTAGAAAAATATGATTAATCTAACAGAAACTTAACTTAAAACGTATCAAAATTAACTAAATTATATATTGCTAAGAAATATCAATATTTATCTAAAAAATAATGAATATATAAATGTACATATATATCCATTAAATAAATCATTTGTATGTATAAAATTATTGATGTGTGGAT